ACACTGTTTTGGTATGGTGCTAATTTCCCTCTCAAGCTCGATTAGTGCAGGTGATAATCGCAAATTTAAAAAACAGCTAAAAAGATTGGACCGAACTTGTATTTCTTGCCACTTTGATGTTTCTAAAACCTCACAGTCGTGACAGTAAACACCTATCAGTATGTATTACATAAACAACCTATTCAAATTGCTTTTAGACATTTTTTAAACCATAAAATCGCATGCTTTTTCTTTAAACATAATTAAAATTATCTTGAAGAACAACTTAACAACTAAGCAACTCGGAAATGATCAAAACTTCAGTGGCAGGGAAAAACTTGAAAAAAGCAGAGAAAAAGAAAAAAGAACACAAGAAATAAAAATCAACTTGATAGGATGGGCTATGAAAGGTCAAGAGATTATCTGCAGCGATGGCCTATTTATAGAATCAGTATTAATCATGTTGAATGTTTGTATTATTTACAGATGCAAAATATTTACAGTGATGTTTAATAACATAGAGAATATCTTTTGAAAGAAATACACTCTCAAGAATATTCAAAATCAAAACAATACAATGATATCAAATTTACATGGCAAAGGAAAAAAAAACGATTTATATACGCAACCGATATCATATCAATGTCTATATCATATCACTTTGTTTCTTTTATCTAAGTAACAAGTGATAAGTACTACTTATATTCTCTTTAAATGTACAACATTTTATATGGATTTTATGTAATTAGGGAGGACATTCCAATATTTGATTCCATTATAATTGAAACAATCGTCAATACTGCCTAATCTTTCGGGTAAAGTAAAGTTATATTGGCTATTTCTTGTATCATAATTATGTAAGTCTGTTACAAGATTGAGGTTGGTGCCAATACATGTACAATGATTTGCCATAGTATGATATATTTTATGCACGTGGTGCAGTACAAGTTGTTTTGATCTTTGATCGACTTCAAGTAGTCTATCTTTAGATAGTTCCGTCGCTATAGTCAGCATGAGTTCTTGTGCCAGTCTACTACATTCCTAAATCTAGGATTTCATATCCTGTTTCCCGGATCCTTCATTGAAGTGAATCCCACCTTAACCCTAATAAGGCCGGGGGCATTATGGCCCTCACCCCCCCCCCCCCCTCCTCCACGATTTTTCGACTGCTCGGGAACGCATATGGATGGCGCCCCCTGCTCCCTAACTTTTTTCTTTCGAGTCTTGCGCAACTTTAAAAAGATTTTTTTTGAAAATCGGACCTACGGTTACAAGGTCACGTGACCTTTTGTCTTTGCATGTCGGCCCGAAAATCGCTCATTTTCGTGATTTGTGTACAAAACATATGGAACAGTCAATTTTCCTAAAAACAGATCAAACATGGGTTATTGGGTCGTGTTTAAAGTTTAGGTGCTTGTTATGGAAGTCAAAATAGTTGAATTGTAGTACGAAATGAAATAAAACATCAAAAACAATGAAATACATCAGTTAAAAAAACAATGAAATACATAAGAAATCATCAAAACAAGGAATAACATAAGGAATAAGCTGGCTCTTCCAATTTTTTTGTTGTATCATTATTCAGAATTGTCTAATGAATATATGTAATGAAAAAGAATGCTTAAATATGAATAATATATGATTTATGGGTAAAAATGTGATTTGTATGACTTTATTTGCATAAAATACCATAAATATGCAAATGAGTGAATTTTTCAAAAAATTGAAATTATCATATTATTCTATACACTTCACTTGACATGCGTGCAACTTTTCGCGGCGATCGGCTGCTTCGCGGTCGAGATCTTAAGGGGGCCATAATGCCCCCCCCCCCGGCCGTACTAAGACCTCAAATAGGTTAAAGGCATCGTTTAACAACAATACATCTGAGATGCATGGCCCTATGTGTTAGCAGTGTCTGTGAAATTGTTTAATATTGAAGCCGTTTAACAAACAAATTGCGCTTCGAAATAATTATGAAGTGCCTCAAAAAAGTTTAAAATATTTGAGTGAACGGGTTTACTCTACTTATTTTCCCTAATAAACTGCAGTGTTATAAAAACCGTCAGGAAAACGAATTCTTTTATTTATAATTCCAATCAGACAGACGATTGAGACAGACATGAGATTCATGTATTGCCTAAAGGTTTATAATTAGGATTGCAGTATGAGCTAAATCCAGGATAGTTTTAAGAATCTGAGGCAAAGTTACTCACCCCTACCAAGCATCTCTAAAATACAGCAAAACATTTAGAAAAGAAAAGTGGTGACAGTTTCAAAGAAATCGGATAGATTAAAAAAAATAGTATTCTCGATAGGTATGGAATTTTAAGATGGTTGAATCATTAGTGTAACTGTGATGTAGTGGCAAGAACGTTTGCCATTTGTTCCATCACAAACAATTACTAAAATATCAGTTTGTCAAAAATGTATGACTCAGGAGGGTCTTTTCTCTTTAGAGGACCAACATGTATGGTAATATGCTACCCATATTTTATTTTGGATATGCCCCAAGCCATTTTTTTTTTTTTTTTTAAATAATTTTTTTGTCCATAAAAAAAAAATAATAATTGGGATGTCAAGCATTTAAACAAACAAATTCTATAAAACACTTAAATATGGTAAAAAAATAGTTTGATGTACAATGAATATCAAGACCAACACAGAAAGTGTTTTTGGCTTTAAAATAGGCCTACAGCACCTTTTAAATCTCCAATGTACTACTTATAGCTACTTGCGCCCTCTGTATAGCAAACATTTCCTAATCGGTGACCATCAAAACACCCATGATCCTCTTTATCTAATGTTAACTGACAGCTGATTTGATGAGATAACCACCTGTCCAGTACTGTCTGTACTAATTTACAGGAGGGATTAGACCACCCATCAAGGTCCTACAGAGGAGCATGGGGGACCAATGGTCACCGATTAGGCATTGTTTGCTATATAGAGGGCGCAAGTAGCCAAAAATACTTTCTGTGTTGGTCTTGATATTCTTTGTACATTAAACTAGTATTTTACCATATTAAAGTGTTTTTATAGACTTTGTATATTTAAATGCTTGACATCCAAATTATTATTTTTTAATAGAAACAAATTATTTTTTTTAAAATCTAAAAAAATAGGGAGGGAAAAATAATCCAAAAAAGACACACAAAAAGTGAAGTAAAAAAAAAAAAAACGCACGCCTCTGCTCCAGGAAAGCAATCGAGGACAACCAAATGATTTATTTTGGGCCTTATGGCACTACTCATAATATAGTAAAGACAGCATATTAATATGGGTCTTCCTGAGCCGTGATTTTTTGAAGAAAAAAATAAATTTTAGTCGTTTTATATGTTGGAACAGATGGGAAAGTATTCCGGCACTACATCACATTGACATATACCGTTTCAGTCAATTTGAAGTGCCCATACGTATAGTGATTATAACTTTCTTATATTTGTCAGATTTAATTGAAACTTTCAACAATTCTTTTAGAGTAGTTGAATATTTTGGTTAAATTCATAATAAATCTGACAATGGAATGAATCGAGAAAATTACAAAGAAAGATTAAAACTAAACCGGAATAAATCTTTAAGTGTACACATCATTCATTGAGTCTTTTAGTTGTCCGGGGGTAGTTGTCCCAGGGAGTAGTCGTCGTTGAGGGCGGTTGCCCTAGGGGTAGTTGTCCTAGAGGGTGGTTATCCTAGTGGTAGTTATCCGGGGGATGGATGTCCAGGGGGTAGCTGTGTCCGGCTACGTCTATTCATATGTGCATGGCACGTGACTTTCATGAACACCGAGTAAATTATTCTTATTTTCATAGTAATTCGAATCCTCACAATACACTTCACTTCATATACATAATCAAGCTTTTCCAATTGCATCCAGACAGAATCTTTCAAAATGTTATCGCATGACCAGTACTCGACTATATCTTCTAAACAGAACTCGTATGTACAGTGAAACCTGCCTTAGTGACCACCAGTATAGAAAGACCACCTGCCTACAATTGCTTGTCTCCCTTGAGTGGTCTTTGTATACAGGTTTCACTGTATATACTACACTGTCGCTCACAAAGGTGGAATATTTTTGTTTTATCCCAATTTATGGAATTATTTTAAAAATTATTTAAAAATAATAGATCTAGATAATAGTATACATTCTCAAATTTTATTGAATAATAATTTGCCAATGTGTGTTTTGCGTGACTGCTAGAGCATGTGTATGCTATTATGCTTATCAACTAGGGGACCTATGCCATTAAGTCATAAATGACAGTAATGAGGATTAATGCCCCACAAAAGGGCACTTATATAGCACATCGACACGGTTTTGATCCTGGGGCCTCACAGTAACGAGGCCATTGCTTTGTCACTGAACCATGACTGTACGCAGCGGGGGCTAGGGTAGGGGGCAGTTTCCATAAATAAAAAAAAACACAGAAAATGCAATAAATTTTCAATAATTTATTGCATTTTACCCCGGTTCCCAACATAAACAAATCTTTTGTGTGCCCATGCCTTGAGCCATAATGCATGGCCGTCCAGAGAATTTGTTTATGTTGGGGACCGGGGTAAAATGCAATAAATTATTGAAAATTTATTGCATTTTCTGTTTTTTATTTTATTTATGGAAACTGCCCCCTACCCTAGCCCCCGCTGCGTACAATCATGGTTCAGTGACAAAACAATGGCCTCGTAACTGTGAGGCCCCAGGATCAAAACCGTGTCGATGTGCTATATAAGTGCCCTTTTGTGGGGCATTAATCCCCATTACTGTCATTTATGACTTGAGGGCGTAGGTCCTCTAGTTAATAAGCATAGTAGCATACACATGCCTTAGCAGTCCCGCAAAACACACATTGACAAATTATTATTCAATATCATCTGAGAATGTATACTAATATCTAGATCTATTATTTTTAAATAATTTTTAAAATAATTCCATGAATTGGGATAAAATTAAAATATTCCACCTTTATGAGCGACAGTGTATAAAGTCCAATGAAAAGTCAAGTACATGTATAAAATGGTAAAATGTTTCAACAATGTTTTATTGACGAATTATGAAAATTGCACAAAAAGAAGGTTTATAGTCCAAAACACATGATCCCACTCTTGATATATTCCATATAAACATCCACTTCGTGTAAGACATGAAAGGTTTATTCACAAACAGCTGCATTGACTATATAGTTATTTATATGTGTGCTTTATATTGTTATCATTATACAAGAAATACTGCAATCTCGTTTTATATATGTATAGAAATGCGTGAAAATAAATATTTTAAACAACCCTTTGCAAATATATGCTAGTCCGCTTACGTATAAAATAATAAACGGAGGCTTAGGAAAAAGAACCAACTGCCACATACCAAAATGTTGTAATGGTACAAACATTTGTGAATGTTTTGATTGGCTATTCTTTAATAGAGTATAATATTTCAGTCTTGATAGTATTGCTAGAATTTTGATTTTAAACAATATATAAAGAAAGAAAGAAAGGGAAAACTCCGCCAAATCTAAAAATACAAAATAACTCCAGCAGCATAAATTGGCACCGATTTATTTTTTGGCAAACGTTTCCAACGTGGTACACCCGGATACTGATAAGGGGAATTTCCAAGATGTGATGTGCACGTTTTGAATCCCAGATAAAGGACTTTATGTTGAGAGTTGAATTCGAAGTATGCGTGAATTATGGACGTTCCTAAAAGTTCCTATTTACGTAAATTTGGGTTCTGGTAATTGTAGTACAAGGGATAATATCAGGTAAATGATATGCTTCGTAATTTTGAATACATTTACGTGATGAACGACTTCGCATAATTCGTCACGTTATCAAGAAAATAGCGATGTCCATGTCGTGCTGAGAAACTGTACATTATTCTTGCTCTATGCCTCTCTAAATATACCCTTTGGTGGGAATCTTGTAGATTAATGGGCAAGAGTACAATAAACCTCTCAGAATAACTAGAGTTATTTCTTTGGGTGAGGTGTCCTTTAACGTTTACAGTTCACCGAGTTGCCTACCATTCGTGATGTGACTTTATGATGCTTCTTCCTTCGCAGCCTTGTTATGGTATTTGAGGAACGTTTGAACTCCACGGCGGCCTTGCTGTTTGCGTGAATAGAAGAGACGGATAGGTATAAAAAGACATACATACAGACAGACAGAAAAAAGAGAGAGAGAGACAAAGAGACAGAGAGATAGAAAGAGAATGAATTCAACATGTTGTCAATGGAGCGGTAACGACTAAAGAGAGAAAACTGCAAAACAACTTTAGGGTGTTCCCTTCAATGCTTTCTTTACGACATAAGACTTTTATCCAGTTATGGTCTATAGTTGTACATTCAATTTGCAATGAACCCCAACCCCACCCACACCCGGAAAAAGATGGATAATTATGAGATCAAGAGTAGAATTAGAAGGATGGAATGAGGACTAGAAAAGTTATGAGGCAGACCGAAAATTGGTGTATTTCAAATGGTTACCAGTAAATTCACAATGAGATTTTCTTTTAAGTTTTCAAAATTGTATGAAAGGACAGTTCAGATATGTACCATCTTTATTTCGTTCAGTATTCATAAGATTTTTGAGTAAAAGAAGAGTAAGTACCTCTACTAAGAAATCCAGGTCCTCTGTCTCTGGGCTGAAGTCCAAGGATTTCACATAGACAGTGTTGATGAGTACCGTACGCTCAATGTCCTGGCCCTGTAGTCCCAAGGTTCAATAAGTGGAAGAAAAGTGCAGGAATAAGATCGCATAGACAATTAACTGCAGATCGACTGATTCTTGTCCATTTGGGGGTAATGTAATATTTTGCTTGGTCTGTGGTAGGTCTGGTGGCGACCTCGTCGATGTGACTTGAGCATCAAACACAATGGCCCGAATTCACAAAGCAAGGTTTGAGCTCAGACCAAGGTTTGAGCTCAAACCTCCTTTTGTTCCGCCAAACCTCCTTTTGTTATTTACAAAATAACAAAAGGAGGTTTGGCGGAACAAAAGGAGGTTTGAGCTCAAACCTTGGTCTGAGCTCAAACCTTGCTTTGTGAATTCGGGCCCGTAAGACGTGTAGTTATACCTCAGTTATATCGCAAGACCGACTCAATACTGACCTATTCTTGGCCGTTTAAGGTAATGATATGTTCCTTAAGTCGGTCATGTTGGTGGGACTGAGGTCTTGTTCACACTGTCAAAGCGACTCTACACCCTTGGCCACTCGAGCTGGGCAATGTTATTTCTTTTTGTTCGGTCTGAAATCAGCGTGACCTCTGTCTCATTGTGTGACCAAGGTATTTCATCTCAGTCCCACCACCACCAATCCGACACAAGATGAACACCAATCCGAACAATGTTGGTCATTGCAGGTAATGTAATTGTCCGTTTGGTTTGAATTCGGTCAAGCCAGATTCGGTTTTGTTGGTGTGACTCCGGGTAACATAGAGAAAGATTTGTTTGTCACAAAACAACTTACCTCTAGGAAAGCTCTTTTGACGTTCAGTAGCAGCATGCTGAAGATTCCAGTGAGATAATCTGTTAAGTTCTTGATATCAAGCCGCCCCGTTCCAATATGATGGGTCTGGATTCCTACTCCCTCCACCTCCGCTAAGGACATCAGCTCATTGAAGTCAATCTACATGTCAAACAAAATGAGATTAATCAGTAATAATTTTTCTCTTTTGCATTATATATAGTTATGTAGGTAATATTTTGTTTTCTTGGTAATTTGAGTAATGTTAATTCCATAAGTAATATCGATTTTGTTTGAAGTAATTTTGATTTGTGTACATGTACAGCGCTTTGAAACTTTTGTCACAAGCGCTATATAAATTTGTCATATTATTATTTTTATTATATACCTCAGTTAAGCAGCGATAAACAAAGGCGTTTTTTAATGATGTAAATTGCAATATGCTTTATGTTTCCTAGCTTTAAGTGAATACGTAAAGTATCTACTTGCTATTTATTTGCACATTAAAAAACAATAATAAGCAGCAGCCCTATTTTGTGTGGCGTTTTACTGTGTCATATCTATTTTAAAAGCCATTACACCGCCAAACCAACTCCATACCGACCAACCTTTAGCCATAAGGGCGAATGTAAATGATTGTTCGATCTTGTAGGTGTTTAGTCCGGCCATCACGAGCTGCCCTATTTTTGATTTCATTTAACAGATAATATCTTTCACCTTCTAAGGAGAGACGTTCCTGGTAACTATCCAGTAAGATTTCAAATCTTTTAGATTTGACAATTTAATTTTGAGTAAATTTTGCATTATTGCAGGAAGCTCCTGGAAAACTACAAATCTACGGATGCGTTTGTTCTGCATAGCAATTGAAAGAAATTTGAGAGTAGGTTTAGAATGAAACGCAGTGCAATTAGGAAAAAGTAAAGAGAGTGGGACTCTGGTATAATTACACTGGTATACAATTTGATGTTAAAGAGAGTATCAGTTACAATTTATTCTAAGTAAACCCATGTGTTACGAAACCCGAGTGGTCACGGTATTCAGGTAATGTGAATGAGATAATTCTGAATTCAAAGGGGTTAAAAAAAGGATGTACCTCTCCATCGGAGTTAGCATCAAGGCTGTCAAATATTTCGTCGACAGTCATATCTTCTCCGAACAGAAGGTGAGCATGGTCAGATGTAAACTCCTCATTCTATTATGAGAAGAAAAGAGAAGTAAAGATCAAAAATCGAAACTAAACGGAAACAGAAATACACGCGGCTTAAAACAAGGGACTGAGAAACTTGAAGTAGAAATTAGCGAATAAAAAGGGTTAGCTGCCAGAAAGATGATAATTCTCATTAATTGTAAACAAATTGATTTGGGTAAAATGACACTAAAAGGTGGCCTATCAAGTAAAGGCAATAGAAGAGAAAAATGTGGTTACGTCAGTAGATTTTCCTACATCATAGAGGTATATCATTCCAATGTCAGACTTCATATATAAGGAGGCGTGTGTATCTTTGTAAAAATATAAGTGGTTTAAGGATAAAAACGTGGTTTATTTGAATACTTTCTAATTTAGTCTTACTTTACTTTTACCAAACTTGATGATTAGATATTTTTGAGTGAAAGACGGATACGTACATTGTTGAAGATTGATGAAAAAACTGCGTAATTTTTGGATGAAATGTTACTTTTTATATTATAATATTTCTTCTACTATAAACCTCAAACATGCAAACAAAAATTCTGGAAAAAATCTCAAACCACAAAGATATTTATGATGCTCTTTCAATTCTCCCAACCAGTTTTTGAAAATTTCCCAACCGATTTCCATGAAAATAACAGGTTTTTCAAGTCACTACCTTAGCACCATTTTTTCTCATCTGAACAATGTAACCAAGTCCTTTTAAAGTAAAAGACGATACGTACATTGTTGAATACTTGCTTGAACGCCTTGATATTAATCGTAGTACCTCCGATACTATTTTGATCCAGAACCTTCAGAAACCGGGTCATGGCGTCTGTCACCAGGCGATGCTGTTTACAGTTCAATTCTCGCTTCTCTTTTATTTTTTCGTGAGCTCTAAATGAGGCCAAAGTCGGTAAGAATAGTTAGATACATAAAGAAAAATAAACATACAGGAAACAAAAAGTCAGACTCGTTTGAAATGCGCTGGATAGAAGAAATCCATAATGATAATATGTTGCATTTATATAGCTCTTAATACAGCGGTGAAGTCTCTTAGCGCTTTACAGATATATCCTTAGGTCTCTGTAATAAGAAAAAAAGACCTGATATCTGTTACCTAGCCTGCCGAGAGTAATTTAAAATGTCTCAATACGCTCCCATTATGGTATAAGTCATGTAGGCATGCTAAACACAAGGAGCGACAGATATCGTATATGAACAAAGAAATGTCATCCCATCTTGTTATCTATTCTACAAGATTTTAGACATATCGAGTACTTTAACAACAACAACAATAATATTACTATAATAGTAATAATGATAACAACATTTATATAGCACTTAATATTAGAGTAACTATTATTACCCCGGCATTAGCCGATCTACCAAGATAAGGCGCTCTAGCTTTGGAAATTTGTCCATATCGGGTACTCAATTACATCACCAGGGTAAAAGGGTGGTAAATGTAGATCATGTTTTGCTAAAGGATATTGGTGCCGCGGCGGGTCTCGAACCTCGAACTATGTGAACCACAGTCCGATGAACATTCCCGGTGGACAAGAGAACATTCGACGTAGACTGTCCGTCAACTTACCTGGCAAGTTTTGTATCTGGTATAGGTGCAATGGGGGCTTCTAAATCTGGATTGGTAGCCAGTACATGGGAGTCGTAATCACTGTACTGTTGACAGAAGAGCAAAATACAATTTTTAATTTGAAACATTCGACAGTTTATTAGTTGGATCACAAGCTATGTCGGGACAACTTGCGAAGGCAACCTAAATGTAATTGAGAGGGCCTGACTCCAAAGATTAGAAACATTAAAAGTATTTGATCGCAAATATCCCCTATTTTAACAAACATCATCGCATCAATTTCGTTGTTTAAACTAAACTTCGCCTCAGTCATTATCAACACTGGTCTGCGGCCTCGGTGAAATATTACATAACTCGGGAAAGTGTGAATTTGGGGGTTCAAATAATTTGTTATATTGAATGCCGGAGCATTTAATGTTTTTCGACATGAACTTACGATAATCATGCCAAAGGTTTTGTCGTTGAACATTCCAAACCTCTCCTTCTTTGTGAGGAGTTTGGCTGCATCCTCCAAAGGTTGCATCTTCTTCAGGAGAGCATCTTCAGGTTTCATAGAAAGCCACCACCCTATCAACGAAGAAAAAGAAAGGTTCCTGTTTCGTGAAACTTGTTATCAAGAACAAGTTACAATACCTAAAGCAGGGCTCCCACTTAGCCGAGTTGAAGCCTCGAGTTGTGGCGAGCTGGCGCGATCTTATGGCAAGCAGTTTTATCATTAAAACATTTTTCTTGATATCAAGAATTCAATTCTTGATATCACGGAATCGAATTCCTGATATCACGAAATCGAATTCTTGATATCAAGAATTACCATTGCTTTACAACGTAAGATTATTTCTTGATATCAAGAATTAATTTCTTGGTATCAATTAATAATAAAACGGCTTGCCATAAGATCGCACCAGCTCGTCACAACTCGAGGTTCCAACTCGGCTAAGTGGGAGCCCTGCTTAATATAATCAAATGAAATGGGGTAATTTATATCTATGTACATGTCCTTTTGAGCATCTTGTGATTTCTGAAACGTTGTATCCATGATGTTGACGGTACGTATTCGAATCTCCCTATATTATCTCACATCCTTTTCCTTTTCCTTCGGTCTCTCCCTTCTCTCTCACCTCTTTTTTTTGGGGGGGGGGCATTCGATTTTGGGATCACATATGCCCCCGTGCTCCCACCCCGCCCCCATAGCTACGCCACTGTTCGTGGCTACTCTTCGATATTCGAAATTATCAAATGAGTATACTTACCATCGAAACAGTGAACTGGATAGTTGCACAAAATACCGCCGTCGATATAGAGATCGGTTCGACCCATGTATTGCCGCTTTACAGGAACGAAAACAACTGCGCAATAATAAGGTAAGAAACAACAACAACAAAACAATAGGGTAATACAAATGTATTCATCTACTTTCACCATGTTCATGAGATATAAGGCTCGTTTAGATATGACGCGTTGAAACATAAAATACGGAAATAAGAAGCGTTTTACCGTTACTTCATTATTTAAAAAAACAGTTAACTGCATCATTCATGAACGAGGCTTTAACAAACGGGGCTTCTATAGGTAAATTACTATATTATTATTACTACGTTGATACACTAGAGTATTACATATGATTATATTCCTCATACAGTAGACATGAAAACGTAGCATATAAGAGAGATTCGTGCTCGTAAATTAATGTGAAACATTAACACAGGGTATTTTGATAATAAGATTTACGGTAATATTCTCGGAGCACTATCGAAATTAAATGCACACACTAAAGTGTTCGGAGCCCCCCAAAAAACGATTGCAAAATTTCACTGTAGCATAATGTGAAAGAGATGTCATTTAAATCATATTTCTGCAATGATTTTCAAAACAAATTAATGTGTTTGAAGTCGCATAATGATGAGAGAACACAAAACTTAGGTTTTTTGGCGTACATGTTGATAATGGATTTCCTGGAAAATAAATCAGTGTATATATTCATTTCGCATGTTTACCATTTGAAGCTATTATCCAGGCGCGCCTCGGGGACATGGGAAGATGTAATGTTCCCTTTAGCCTTTAAAACAGCCAGGCCTCGCATAGCAGTCGACATATCTATACTATTCATTCAGGATGAGGGCCCTACATTGATATATGCTGGTTCTGCGTATTAGCGGTTTATCTGAAGTTGTCGTGCAAATAGAAAACTGTTTAGTTCTCACCTGGAGCAGACATAGACATCCTGACAGCTGTCCTCATTGGCATGTTGGGAGTGGTTTTGACGTGACAATATTCCTCCATCATCGTGGTTAGATTGGTAACCACCACGCATAGTTCTCTACCCGTCTTAACATAAAGGTCCTATTAAAGGAAGCAAGGGACGAAAGAGTTGTTCGCTGGTGTAGCCGAGAAATGATTATAACTATCATTATAGAGACCAGAGAATTTGTTTTTCTTTATCATGAAAACAAAGTCTTGAATTCGTATTCTACAAACAAATGGACCCACTGCTGGGGTTAAGAAATGGATAAACTAGCCTCCCATAGTATAAACATGAAAATACAAATCACTCATGTTTGCGAGTGGATTAGTGATTATACACTGCAATTAGGTTATGTCACAGTAAGATAATGAACAAGACTTGTCGAGCTCATTGTCCGTCTCGTTGTGACTTAACCAGTGCACTGCATAGTATTATCTGTTTTTGCCGACTTACCTTGAATGTGGCGTTTGGGTCTCCTAGCTTTTCAGCAATGTCCTCACCGATGGACTGATAGGCGGTCCTTCCAGGATGCCATCCCATGTACTTAAACAGGTTGGGCACCAGGCTGCACTTTCCACATGGTGCGTCTTCAATAAGAGAAACCATGTGAGGAGGAATAAATAATGAGTATATTGTGATTGTTCATTATGTCGTTGTTCCTTATTATGACGTGATGCGTTTAAATTATCTTGCGGATCACGCACATCGACCACTCATTAACCATAAATACATGCAGTACTGCACTTATACATACTTGGCTGGTTTATTCAATTGTTATCTTTTTCTTAAAAACTACTTTTGTCTCCACCTTTACGCACATTTTCACATTCTGGAATATGTATAAAACTCGTGCATTGGCCACACTACCCAATGCCTTTGTCACACCATCGAGACAGCCATCAAACTGCACAAGAAAGTCCATTATTTCTACTGTCTAAGTATCGGTCGATTTGGCGGTTTGACGAAGGTACTAGGACCGATCTGGACGACTCATGCAACCAGACTACACACTCATGATAACTTTCCCAGACGAATACCCCTCCCCCCGTTCAATTACCGCTTAAACACTCACCCGGACGACTACCGCCGGACAGGTACTGGTCAAGAAATCACACCCTTCAAAGAACTCTAACCGTAATTGTGGGGAATTCTCCGAGGGTTGTGTGCTACTGGGGCAATTTTCAAAGGGGTTACCCCACCTAAGTGAATGCAGCTGACACTCCTAGCCTCGAATGTATAGGGCATGTATAGGGCACACGCTTGATGGAGGGTACTTGTCTTCCTCGATTAATGATGATTGAAATGCAAATTGATACGGTTGTAGAAAAAGATCGTAGTGTCTTTTCGTCATGTTTCCCTTCCCGTTCCCCCGCTTTGAATTCTCTCTTTCCCTCTTTTCTCATGTGTCTTACTGTTTTTACTTCTAGATGGTGTGGGGGACATGACCCCAACTGCCCCGGTAGCTTTACCACTGCCTATTTTATCACTGATATATTTCCCGAGAATCGATTCGATTTCATTTCATATTTGTTCATCATGCACGACCGCAAATACTTTAGGATATTAACAGGGGGAGGGGGGCAATGTTAAAATGACGCAATACGTCACTATAATGTTCTCACATATCCACCGGATAATGCTGGGTAAGGCTATTGAAATTGCTTGAAGTTGATTTCTCGAAAGGCTTTGCAATCATACGTGTAGATACTATAATTTGTTTCTCACCTAAGAGGTCTTCGAATTGAGGTCCATCGTTAATAATGGAGAGAAATTTGCTAGACCCGTGGCCTACGGCGAGATAAGCAGCTGTCACCGAACCAATGCTGGAACCAGCGAAACGGCGAATCTTGCTCAAGAAGTTAAGTCGCTCCAACTCCTATTTGATACAAAGAGTTAAAGAGAGTGCTAGAGTTCTGATAAAATGAACGATAATTTGTGGGCAGTTATGTGTCATTTTAAAAGAATTTCAACACTTGTCCATGTATTTTCGTCAGATTTCGTTCGAATTCGTCTCACTCGGCGGTCAGCTGCAGAATGTAACATTCGAATTCGTCTTTGTGAAACCAATATCAAGAGAGTTTCATCGAAATCCACCGCATAGAAAAGACCTTAATATAAGCAACGAGTGACGAATTCGAATGACACTTTGACGATGTCGATTGCAAAATGACGCCATGTTACGTTGGCAGCCCAAAAAGACGAGATCGATTTGACTTTGACGAAATTGGATACGAATTTATTAAATAATGATTGGACAAAGTTAGCAAATGAATGACCAATGACGAAATTGACTATGAGACGTGCAAAATTAGGAAGTTTTGGGACGAAATAAAATGAAAAGAGTATGAAATTGATTGAAAAAGGTTTTTAAATGAATAGGAAAACCTATAGGAGTAGCAGTACTAGTATAAGTAGTAATAGAATTAGGAATACAATAAACACATCTTACCATTATGGCGCCAATATAAGCATTACCCTGGCTGCCACCGCCTTCCAAAACGAGGTTCTCATACGGGAAATCAACATCGTCAATGTCTTCAGCAATACTCGACAATGTATCTTCTTGTAATCCGTTCGCAGGTTTTCTTGGTTGATCGGTCGTAGTTGATGCGTCAATTTCGTCTTTTCCTTTTAGAAGACTGAGTCTCCTCTTGAATCTGGCATGTAACAGGTTGAGAACAAATGTTTGTCAAGCCCTAAAGAAGTTTAATCTGTCGTGGTCAGAACAAATAGTTAGCAGCAGCAGCAGCAACAACAACAACAACAACAGCATCAACAACAACATAACAGTAACAACTATTGATTGCATGATAGCTCAACAAATATATCGTTTTGTATTTGGAGATTAATATTAAAAAACCTTCGATTTTCGAGACATGTTTAGATTGCAATCGACATATTGTTAAACCATGGCTAGTAGAGTCGGGGTAGTTATGTCACCAGAAGTTGTGCTAGGGCATATGTCAAATTCATATAGCACCAACATTCCTATTAAGAATGGCGACCCTCTTCTCTTATAATGAATAGTAGAGACTCTCATTTCTTATTATGATTAGCGGTTCTTATGAGTAATTACCCTAAATGTAAATTATGATTAGCGCCCTTTCTTCATGTTTATGAATAACAACCCCGATATCGTATTATGAATAGCGGCCCTTACGAATAATGGTCCTTATGAATAGCAACCAGACTCCGTATCCTTTCCCTTTATAAAAATGCTAATCTACTCTCGTTTTGGGAGTCGTTTGTTTGTTTGCATGTGGAACCCAGGTGACTGGCTATCAGGCCTAAAATAAAAACTTGTTGTATTGCCCTTTTGGTGCTAAAACATGGGTCGGTCGATCGGAAAATTTTTTTTTTTTTCGTCGCCCTCTTTGGGCCGATATTTCTCAGTTTTTAATGCTTTAATACATGGGTTTCAACGTCATCATTCCATTGATATCTTTATCACCTCATAATTATCCATGATTTTCACGAGTGAGAATCTTGGAATAGTTTGATTTTATGCATTTATATCCCATTTAAACAAACAAAAAATACTTATTTTTTTATTCATTAATTTTAAAAAAATCTAAAAACGGTTAAAAAAAAAAAAATTAAATTAAATGCCGACCGTAGATTTTCTGATTTTTGGGTCGGTCGCAAAGGGCAATACAACAAGTTTTTATTTTAGGCCTCATCATTTGCCAGTTTGCCAGCATTCAATTGGTAACTTGGTTGAACATCACATTAAAGTCAGTGGCTACATTATATACATGATCTACAGGTTTTCCATTTATTGAAATATTTGAATCATTTTTAACATTCTTGCTAGGTAGAAAAGTTTCCTTTTTTCTCATATCAACACCATAATCAGTCAATTTCTTCTGATAATATGCTCGCTTTACACTCTTATTTAAGTTATTTGATCTATTTCTATGGTGTTTGAACGTTTCATGGTACATAATTTCTTTAGTTGTTATCAAACTTGTTCTTATTATAGTTACGCTCTCTAGCAATCATAATACATTCATCATTAATCCGTTGTGAACCATTTCGTTTGTCCGTGCTGTTAGGCCTGAAAAAAAAATGTTGTATTGCCCATTTTTTAAAGGTAAAGACCAGTATTGGAAGCGCCCCAATTTCAGAAAATGAAATGGAAGCTCTTATTACCAATCATGTGAAAGAATATGTTTTGAATATTACATGACGATAAAGATTTTGACGAGAAACCGCCTATTAATTGATATATTTGGTAAATTAGTATCTATTTACGGTTGAGAAATACAAATGCACGTGTCGCGCACGTGTGTGTAGTCCCATATACATATTTCTGTGTACAGTGCTTCTAACTTTATGAAGAATTGGCCAAATTTCTTATAATTTTGATGATTCCAGAACCTTGCAGTACATCTATGCTAGATGATCAACCTTTTCTGATCGATTTCACAACGTTTCTTTCACTATGCAATTGCATGACCATAACTGGTCTTTAGCTTTAACCGCTTTTTTAGAGAATATGTATTACATCATTCAAAACTGAGAAATATCAGCCCAAAGAGGGAGTTTTAAAAAAAAAGTAAGAAAACAAAAAAAAAGATTTCCGACCGACTGACCCATGTTTTGGCACCTAAAGGGCAATACAACATATTTTTGTTTAGGCCTTACATACAGCTCTGAAAATACGCTAAGACATTTGTCCGTTTGCATTTTCCAGTTGTGACCACATATTATCCCAGTCAATGGCTCCCAAAAGATTCGAAAGGAACGAAATTTCGAGATTTTGGGTGTAAACCTTTGAGCCTTTAGCTTGTGACTATACATCCGGGAACTCTACATACACCAGTGAGTGGTCGCTTAATCCCTTTGATTGTACCTCAGAATGAAGCTCTTCCATTGACTTTGACACAATGCGTACTACTAGTAGGCGTTACCCTTGTGGATTAAGTTGAACAAGTTGGGATAAGCCTATCAAATTACTTAATCCTATTAATTTTTTTTAATAGATTATTGTCCACGAACATCTCCTGAGAGAGCAATTATGTCTGAAATTGAATGTACACAAAAGGTCCTCTTCTAACAAATCAAAGTAGGATGAAAGACTCTTAGGTTGTCTACGTATATAGTAATACCTACAAAAAAGTCTGATTTGTAGGCTACAATTCAATCCGTATTAATTCAAGTTCATTTTTCTTTAAATCATACCTTCTTATAGATATGGAACATTTTCTCGAATATAACATTAAAGTCCACCACCGTATTTATCACGATCTTTTCTCTCCACATTATAACCGTTGACTAAAAACCATATTACAGGCAATGCTATCATCTAACCACGTTTCTGAAAACGAAATCATATCATAAAGGCACGATAACCAGAACAATTTAAAGTTCATTAATTTAATTCCTAAAGCAGGGTTCCCACTTGGGATATCAAGAAATAATTTTACGTTGTAAAGCAATGGTAATTCTTGATATCAAGAATTCGATTTCGTGATATCAAGAACTGAATTCTTGATATCAAGAAATATGTTTTAATGATAAAACTGCTTGCAATAAGATCGCGCCAGTTCGCCACAACTCGAGGCTCCAACTCGGCTAAGTGGGAGCCCTGCTTTAGACTTCTAGCATTTAAATGTGCTATTTTCATTCCCTTTTGTTTAGGATATTGATTGATAAAATCATTTAAAGTTTGCTTATTATGACCACAGTATTTTTTCGTGGTCTACTTTACACTTTACCAAAAGTATAACTACACTGTACATCATTAGAAATAATATTTTGTTTAAGTGTGTATAGCGCATATACATTATGCGTAATTGCATCTCTCTATGCGCTTTGCAGAACAGAAAATAGAATTAGTGGAAATAGTGCACCGGGGTAATAACTGTGAGATATTACAAAGTGGTAAATAGATATGTTTCATATTACTTCTGAACTTGTCATACGTTTCTAAATTTCTAAATACTGCTTTTCCTGTAGGCCCTGCAGTCGTCATTACCCCTATCATTGTCATTTACCTGGATCGAGTGGGACAATAAGGGCAAAACACCTTTGCTCAACAACTAGCGAATACATAAACTATTAATTCCCAAATTTAGATTCATTTTTGTTAACACTTTTTAATCACTGGACCCGACTTTACATAATCCTAACGCTGACCATAACCTAACATGCGATTGTACCCCAACCCTATCTCTTACATCTTTGTACAAATAAAGCCCGGTGCAATCGTTCACAGAGCAAAAGTTGAGCAACAAGAACAAACTTATCGTGGTCGACAATATAAATTTGTACCATATATTTTTCAATACAGGTACTAACATGACTGATAAATGCATTTATTTGATATTGTCGGCAATTAAGGATTCTGACTGGACCTCGAACGTGTCGATATATAAAAGTGCTTACCTTAAGTTATTTTTCTCGACAATAAGGCGATGTGAAGTCCTACGAGATAATTTTCTTTTGCCCAGATTCTTTGGAGGTTCTGCCTCTGTCGATACATCCGATCCCATTTTGGGGGAGATTAGGAGAACTTCTGACGCCTACTTTTGCTCTCCGAGATTGAAGTGATAGGATGTACGAGTAACGAGTCATTCATGTACACGTGAAACGTGGACATGTAAGGTAAATATTCTTAAAATATTACGACGCACTCTCCATCAGACGTGGGAGATAATTAACTGGGCATGGCTTATCCATGCCAAGGTAATCTTATAGATTCATAGAGGCAACAACTGCAAGGACCTGCGGGAAATCACAATAGAAGTGCTTACATCACTAAACAGAGACTCTGGGTACCTATTGTCACCGATCTTTGGTCCAGTGATCACAGGACACCGGGCAGTGCAGTGAAGCAAACGTGTGACTCAGACTGATCACTTAGTTTGAAAAAGTCCACATGAGTGGACAAAAGCTTGCATAACAAATTCAAGTTTGGTAGAAGCTAAAAACTACATGTTATGCTTACAATAATTGTTTGCCTAGAAAAATCAATACATGGGGATCGTTTCATGAAACCAACTCCATAACAGCCATATCCTTGTCTGCGACCTACGGAGATGTCAGGGTGCGGACATCCCGTTTCACAAAACAAAGATGAACGACAAATTCAAGATTTGTCGATGCTATCTACTACATATGTGTAATGTGCTATCTACTACATTATGTGTAATTCATTGGATATGTGTAATTCATTGTATATTGACCTTCTTCAAAATCAAATAGCCCGTCTGCAACGAGTTCAGAACGTGGCAGCTCGGCTCGTCACTCTCCGCAGTAGATCAGACAGTATTTCAAATATATTAAAATCTCTTCATTGGCTATCAGTCTCAAAAAGAATTATGTATAAGCTGTTACTCATTACTTACAAAACACTTCTTAATTCTTCACCCCATTACTTGTATCAGATTTTGAAACCGTACACCCCACAACGGAATTTACGTTCAGGTTCACAGCTCCAGTTATGTACTCCCAAAACCAATAACAAATTGGGGGACAGGGCTTTTGCTAACGTTGCACCCAAACTATGGAACACTTTACCATTAGAAATAAGACAATCATCATCAGTTGAAATATTTAAGAAGAAACTTAAGCACCATTTGTTTATGTCGTATTTTTAATATTGTAAAATTATGTCGTAGATTTTATAGTGTATCATATGATGTCGTAGTTTTAATATTGTATAATTATTTTGATGTTGTACAAGAGCGCCTTGAGCAGTCTTTTAGAATGGATATGTGCGCTTTATAAATTGACATTATTATTATTATTATTACATATATAGAGTGGTACAAAAGACAAGGGTAAAAAGTTATGAAACACGAGAAAATACAAATATACTTGACAGGATGGCCCATGAAAAGTCGAGGGCTTATTTACAACGATGTCCTATTTAGAGAATCAGTATTGAACATGTCGAATGTTTGTATTATCTAGAGAACTGATGTCGAACATTTAGAGCAATGTTTGATAACATGGAGAATATATCTTCCATTTTTTAAAGACATTCTCAAAAATATTCAAAATTAAACGAAAGCAAAAATATCAAATCTACACGGCGGAGAAAAAAAACTGATTTATATATGCAACCGAGATCATATCCTTGTTTATATCACACCCTTTGTTTCTGTTATCTAATTCACAAGTGACAGGTAATACTAATGTTCTCTTTTAAAGTATGCAACATTTTATATTGCTTTAACGTAATTAGGGAGGACATTCCAATATTTGATTCCAGTATAATTGAAACGATCTCCAATACTGCCTTATCTTTCGGGTAAGATAACGTTATATTGGCTATTTCTTGTATCATAATTATGTAAGTCTGTAACAAGATTGAGGTTGGTGCCAATACATGTACAATGAAGTGCCCTAGCATGATATAATCTAAGCACGTGGTGCAGTACAAGTAGTTTTGATCTTTGATCGACTTCAAGTAGACTAGCTTTAGAAAGTTCGCTATGGCCAAATTGAGTGTTGGGACCAGTCTTCTGAAATCCTAAATCTAGGATTTCATTTCCTGTTTCCCCGGATCCATCCTTAAAGTGAATCCCACCTCAAAAGCAAGCATCTCTAAAAGAAAGCATAATGTTCACAGAAAAAAACTGGAGGCAGTTTGAACGAAATCGGACAGATTTATATTTTAAAAAGGAGTATTCGCGATACGTAACCCAATAAGCAGAACACTAAAAAAAAAACTCTTTAGGGAGTGTATTTTAAGCGATTTTAAAGTATGGTGCCTTTTGAACAAAATTTAAAAGTACCTTCGTTTAAAAAAAAAATGTGTACTCCTGTTCACGTTTTCATCTCACCTAAAAACCACCAATTTATCACGCGGCTGGAGTAACGTAATTCCACTTACCTCTGTAAATCAAGTGTTTATGACCAAATAAGCACTTAAACCAAGCAACGATTTTTTTTTTATCCGTTAACTGATGGTGGTGATAAATAAGTAATTATTTGGTCTTTTAAGCACCTTCATTGATTGGTGTCACAGGTTAATCAAGGTTGATGGTAATAATCACGATACTTACACCGGCTAATCGTCTAATTGTTCTGTCCGTGAATCTCTGGTTGTATTAAATCAATAATTCTGAGGTGTCTTACACACCTTTTTTAAATGGTTTCAAAGTTAACATGAATTTCTTGGTGATGATCACGTGGCTCAAACTGATTACTTATCTAAGCTGTGAATCCGTGATATTTAGATGTGAACAATTAGTAATTCTTCGGTGTCTTATAACACCTTTTTTATGGTAGTCAAAGTTCCCATAAGTTCCGCGGTACTGATCTCGTGACTTAAAGGAATCACACTAAGAAATATCCACTACAACTGATAATTAGAACAAATTACATATGGATGAGAAGATTTTCTCTTGAAAAAACACAAATAACTTGCTCAGAAATCATATAGATATCATGGAAAGGCGTAAAATGCGATTTTCCAAGACACCTCTCAGACCCCTGAACCCCCTGAACGTAAACCCCACACACGAGCTAGCGAGCTCCGAATACTGATTCTTAATCTTAGGTGTAAATCTGTGAATTTTTAGGTGTGAAAAATGAATGAGTAATTCTTGGGTGTCTTAAACACTTTTTTAAATGGTTTCACAGTTACCATTTAAGTTCCTTGTTGATAATCCCGTGACTGGTCCGTGGGCCTATTTCCAGTTGAACCAGTTTACACCAGTTAATTTGCATATTGAATATGGGGTGCGTGCAGATCTATGTTTTTTAACAATTTATCTGAATTTACGGCATATTTCTTAATTATTAATGGTTTCGTTAAAGGCAATTCAATTCGAAATTACTACAAAATATAAATTGCCAATTATTAGGACATTTACATTTACAATTACATTAAATTAAACTAAGGGAAACATTAACTATGAACTAAACTAAATTAAATTCAATACAAATAAATTGAACTTTGTTTTCAAGAAGTATCCAAGTCTTCTAATTTCCGATGCCTTCACATTGGAAATTGGAAATCCATACAAACCAGTGATGTTGCCATATGCAGATTAATTAGTACAAGTACAATACTTATACCAAAGATGGTACTTATACCAAGATAGCTCACTCACCAGAAAGTACGTGCTATTGAGTGAAGTACGCACCGGTCCGGAACGGCCGCCATGTTGGAGAGCAGGGTCTACCCGCTTGCGTGCCGTGTGCATAATCCTGTACTCACTGGACCACAGCAGGAGAGATGTATACTTAGAACTGGTCTTGACTATACAAAAAGAAATCGAATTATCGATCTGTCAATCTATACAAGACGGGAAATAAATTTCCCCTACATCTGAGAAATGGAAAAACTAGGAAGTTTTTTAGGGAGGGAGCACTGCATGGGAGAGCGAGTAGAGGTGGAACGAAGTCAACAACATTACCCTTACTGTATTTTGAGCTCCCCGTTACAAGATTCAAGATTCAAGATTTATTTATTTCTTTCCACTTGCATAAAAAAAACATTTCATTCAGTAACAGTAGTAACAAGTTCATCGTAAACTAGCTTAAATACATTAACAATGAAAGAGTTATAAAGACTTTAACAAATGTGGAAAAAGAGGTGGTCTGTTAAAAAAGCACAGCTTGTTACAGGGGGGGGGGGCTATGATCTCAGCCGTCGAACGTTGAATGAACACGAAATGTTGCACGTTTGTAGATGTTCACGAAAGTAACAAGATGGTGTAATAAATTGTTTCCTATTATGCACATTTTTATCGTCATAGCGGTTAGCCTAATTAATTATGCAAAATGCTAATTTTTATGCATTCTACAGAAGACCCTACATATTTGTCTGTAGATTTGTGAAGAATCTAGAAAATGTATTGAATAAATGTTTCCTTCGTTTCAAATTCATGAAGAAACATAATTTTCATATTTGAAAATTCATAGTTAATTTGCATGAATTATGAATACGCAAATTACGTGATCATTTTTAGTTTTTGAAAGTATGTTCAGCACAGTGAGCAAAGCCAAAAACCAATCATTTCACCTACTTTCGAAATGTATCACTTTAGTTTGTATTGGGGGGGGGGGGGGCTCCCAGGGCTTGGGTTAAATTGTGATGTAAGAAAAACTCATAATTTCAATTCTGTATATGCTTAATGATATGTTGAGAAATATGAAACTCACTTTTTTGTTTAAAGTATGCAGTATTATTCTGAAAAGGGGCAATGCTCGTTCTAGTTTCGGGGAGGAACACCGGCGTACTGATGGGAGGAGGGGGCAGTTAAGCCCCCAAATGAACGTGGTTTATTTCTTGTTCAGGGACCCCTCAAAAGCCCCTCTTACATAGGACAAGTGCCCCTTTTCTTTTCTAATAACTGTCCTTTTCCTCTCTTTTCATCTCTGGTGAGTACGTCTTTTCAGGTGCGAGAAATTCCCCTTTTCACCCCTGATAGTTGTGCTTTTTTTTCCTTTGACTGGTGCCCCTTTTCCTTGTAAATAAGGTTAATTTTTCCTTCTTAATAAGAACCCCTTCACTTTCTCTTAAATGCCACTTTTCACCTCTGAAAAGTGCCCCTTTTATCATGACACGAGCACTTTTTCTTTTCTCATAACTGTCCTTTTCCCTTTTGATACATACCTACTTTTCCTCTCTCCAAAACATGCACCCCTAATTCAAGGCGACTTAGAGCCCCGTTTCTTTAATTTTCCCTATATAGAGCTTGCTCGCATTTATAGATGTTATAGTTATGTTAATTTTATAAAAGAAATGTTCAATCTTTCTTCATTAAATTGGGCTTAATAATAATAATATTAGAGAATATTTATGAAGCGCAAAATTTCTCTATGCGCTTTACAATCATGACATATTTGAATATATAAACAACATTAATACAACAATAAATGACAAAGTAGATAGGCAAATGACAAAAAATATTTATGGGAAAGTTAACCAATGCACCTATAATTACACCTAAGTAAAACTATTTGACATTATATATAACAAACAAACACCCGTTATGTCGAATCAACCTCCCAACCTGCAATGGACAAAGCACCTCTAGGAAACCCTCAAAAATAGATAAGATTTCAGGGGGGTTGTCTTCTTTATAAGATGTAATTTTTCGCACTGGGACGTCGCAAATCTTATAATTTTTGCTAGCTTGCTTCGCTTGCTCGAAAATTAATATTCAGACCATCACACCCAACTGCAAAGTATGTTGCTTAATTAAGCAGTATCTTGTACCACGTACAGAAAGAAACAAATATTGATATCATCCCTGGTAGTGTAGTCATATCGGAAATACAGAAAATATGTTTCGAATTTATATGGAAGGGGAAAGATCGAATTAAGAGATTAATATTGCATCAAGGTTATAATGAAGGAGGGTTACGAATGACTAATTTTGATTCGTTTGTAAAAACCCAACGGATAACGTGGGAGACAAGACTATTGTACGAAGAAAAGTCAATGAGATGAAAGCTACACTTTGATTTCTGCTTCAAGATGGTAGGAGGTAGATTTATTTTCTTGTGTAACTATGATTTCAAGTTATTAAGTTTCAAAGTACCTAAATTCTATTGGGAATTGATCAAAGCATGGGAAGAGTTTGATTAGAAGTTTGTAGGAATTTTGAAGAAAAGAATAATCCAATTATTGTTAACAGTAACAATTTCTTTTATTTAACCATAATTTGTGGCTTACACCCAGTAAATAAGATTGAGGATTTTTTTTTTTTTTTTTTTTGATGAGTTGTTTACATTTTGATGAGTTGTTTACATGCAATGTAATTTCAGTCCAAGATATTTTTGTTGAAAAGGGCATGCAGTCAATATATCATTTTTGACATTTGGGGTCAAAGGAAACAAAATTGTTGATGTCCGGAATATTGGGGAATCTATTTTGAGAAGCGGAAAAGGGGATAACTGGAGTTCAGTTGATGTAAAACAATATGATAATCTAATGCAGTTTAACGGTACTGTGAAGCTCCTCAGACATTTATTTTTGAGAAAGGTATATGAATATTTTTAATGGAGAAGTTACAAAATATATTTGTTTTGAAGATTAATGATGGACAGGGGTTTTCAGATTTTTCAAATGAGGTATGTGGGGAGATATTTAGTAGGCCTAAGAAAGTTACTCTTGTTAACAGACTAAGAGAAATTCAATATAAACTGCTTCCTGGAGCAATATATACTAGAGAACACTGATTGAGATTCGGCTTTGTTGAAGATAACTTGTGCTTATTTTGTAAGCAAAAGATTGAAACATATTAACACTTGTTCTGGGAGTGTGTATAGTGCAGTGACGGATGGTGGCCCCTGACAAATAGGCAAACAAATATTTTTTTGTTATTTTTTATTTATATTTTGTTGCTCAAAGGGGGGGGGGGTGATGAGTAAACAAAAAGTAGAGCTCCATACCCCCCCCCCCCCCTCCCCCTCTATTGAGCCCAAAACCAAAAATTAGTGCTCACCACAAAGGGGGAAAGGGGGGGGGAGATCGTTGAACACCAAAAAGGATTGGGTCTTACTATGTTGAACAGGCTGCAAGTCGCCGCCTATTCACAGGCGCTATCCCACTACTGCTCCACACGGGGACTTTTGCCTGCTGCGTTTCCGCCCTGGGCCAGTACGTCCCCCCTTAGACGACCTGGTTGGCCAGTCTTCCGACCAAATCAACCATATCGATGCCGAGCTTAGCGTGGACGCCCGATCGCCATAGAACGACGACATCCAGGACTCCCGCTCTCAAGCGATCCACCAACCCCGACTTCCAAGTAGCTGGATTACAGGCGCACGCCACAACGCCCGGTCGAGTGATATTTAAGTAATATTGACTGCCTTCAGGGCAATACGACATATATCGCCCGAACCGAAGGTGAGGGTGATATATGACAAGTCGTATTGCCCTGAATTAGGCAGTCAATATTACTATTATTAACCACATCAGACATCTAGAGCAAACAAGAAACTCTTACTATCTTATACTCTTAAATTATGTAGGCTACACAGGGTTTCCTAGCATTATAAGTTGCAAAAACATTGTCAAACCAGCACTGTTCATCCAGTGTTTGACAGATTTTCGATACACTGCAAACAGTTTGCCTTGGGTGTGATTGTTACGTCACAATGAGAGTTCGCGCAAAGTGCGCATTTTCTTATACACGATGCGCGATGTAGATTACAATAGCTGATGCGCGATGTAAATTACAACTGGCACTATATTATTGCGCACTAGTTTAACACGCATTTTGCCATTGACTTTTCTGAGCGGGCTAAAATATTTGTCCATTGACTTACTGTATAGCCTATATTGCCCGCCAAATTACACACAAATCGCATTGACTCTTCTGAGCGGGGTAAAATATTTGCGCATTGGTTTTCTGTATAACCTATATTGCCCGCCAAATTACTCACAAAACCCCATTGACTTTTCTGAGCGGACTAATTTATTGTAATTTTGTTGACTTATCCATCAAACCTTGAGGGCAATAACATTTAAAAATTACCCTGCTCAGATGTCTGATACGGTTAATAATAGCGAACATAGAGCAATGGAGATGAGCTTCCGATTTGATTTGCTTTTCCTGTAGAGGGCGCGCGTGTGTGTGTTTTATACGTAGTGTCCCTTTACACTATGTTTACGTAGAAATCCTATGTTATTATTCCCCCTCAGAATATGCCCTTTTTCCCCTCCTTTTTTTATTTTACCAGTGGACATTATCCTGACTGTGACTGAGATTGTATAGTTGAACTTAAATGATAACACCGACCCCGAACAAGTAATGTTTGATGAAAATATTATAACAATCTGTCATATGAATTATTTTGTGTACATATAATAGGTCTACCATTTCCAGAGAAACATATTACCCGAAACAAAATATTTAGTTTTTCATTATTCTTTAATGATGCCATTCATACATAAACAATTCACCTTGTATACAATAGCCAAGAAACGGTAAGAACAGAAATAAAAAAATAATTGCTTGTTTATCTCAGCTACGACAATCCACCTTCATTTGGCTATTTACATTGAGCACCAATTAGAAGAAGAAGAAAGAAACGATTGAATGAAATGAATTATAATTATAACATCCTCCCCCATCTCCCCTTCCCTTAAAATAAAAATGATGATTAGTATTACTTTACCTTACACACGATTCCAAACTGTATTAGCGCCCTCTATAAGAAAGAAGAATGTTCCCAAATCGCTACCTCTTCTTAGATTACCTGTCACTAATTTGATTTCGCTAAAATATCCCAAGATGATCACTTTACAAGGTGTAATACACGATTGTCCAAGGGATTTAGATGGACTTCCTAGTGTAGAGAGCGAGGAGACTTTTCGAAATGAATTATATATTATGACACACCCTTTAGTTAAAGGAGATTTAGTGTCTATGGGAAGAACGTCCTTGTCAACAGAAGTTGATTTTTAAAAGGACCCACAAAAAGAATTATCCAAGGCTTAAAGATACAATGTCCCTTTTGCAGACAACATCACATTATGTAGAACTGTGCAGGAATTATAAATATGTCATGTATGTCCTATCTGTGGAATTTAAACGTTAGCAGTGTCCTAATATTAAAATTATGCAAGGAAACCTGTTTACTTGCTTTACTTCACTGTTAGACACTATTGAGTGACTGACTGACTTTTTCTTCTTTGGTAATAGCATAAATAAAATGAGCTTTTAAGGGCACATGAGCATTTTGTCTACTTCAATAACCCACTACTTGTAATGGCCAAAATTAAACTGATTGAATCTTTGCGCAGCATAAAACATACGATCATTCGGTACAATGGTCTGAAAATCAGACTATTACTTACTGGTTCTGTAGCTCTTAGATCGATTCGACAACTAATAGTCGTTATTTTCCCACTTAAAGACATTTTCAAGCATCCCATTTTTTAGGGAAGTTCTAAATTAGTATTATCTTTTAAATGCCGTTGGAATTTAACCAAAACGAAAGGGCTTGAAAATGTCTTTTTGAGGGAAAATAACGACCGTTAGCTGTCAATTCGACTTATGGGATTGCAATCCTTTTATTAAATTGTCTGATTGCTCTCATGGTATCACAAAGCTAAATTATGTCCACGGTTCAGACTGTTTGTAGACAGTTTGAGGTTAAGATTACAGTTTACTTGCGGCACGAAAGTACATTAGTCCGAACAGCACAGGATAATTTCATCATAATCATGCGTAAATATTCATCCTTTGGGTCCATTTCAGTTGACAAATTCAGCTCTACTGGATGTCATATTTGGATGGAGACGTCAGTGTTGATAAAGTCATATATCTTTCTTTTCAATAAGAACTGTCCGTTTGGCTCTTTCACGCCTGGTGGAAGAAGTGCTAAAAAAACTGGAGTATCTGCGCCCTCTACGGTCGTAACCTTGTTGTATCCATATTGGTTGTCCGGTAAGTGAGCGGTCATGTCGGTTTGTACAAAGCCTGGGCAACACTGGAAACAACAAGAAACAAAGTATAATGGAATCAAAGGCTACTCACATTCTTGGTTTAAGCGTCTGCTTTACGTTTTCTCAGAATTATTAAAGATTGGTCCACCAATATGATCCCGCGGGGGTCAGTTTTGTTTTGCTTTACACGACAGGTGAGCATCACGTGACGTCTCCCGATGAGGTTAACTGTAGTTCATTTTTAAATTGTTTACTTTTTCACAAAAATATGCAAGTGGAGAAGAAATTGAAAAAAATGAGACAAGGAGCAAATGTCCGGTCGCCCCTTTACTTAGTCTGCGGGGAGGAGTTTCTTAATATAAATGTTTGAGAGGGATTCGTCAAAGATATATTCTCAGTGGACCATAATATCGGTGTACCTACCGCATTGACAAGTATATCCTGTTTCGATGCATCTAGTGATATCTTTTCAGCCTGCATCTTTGACAGTAGGATAACACCGAGTTTACCAACCCCATAGGACCATTCTGACCATCCGTTTGCTGCGTTAGTTTCCATCTTGCAGCACCTGCAAATGAAAATGCACGTAGTCCCCATAATACATGTTAGAATTTCCTCTGGCATAAATCATTGTAAATCAAAGCGAATACACGTACCTAATAGATTTGATTACGCTCACCAGGTGCCGTGCTACTGCCGTGCTATGTTTTACGGCTCCATAATTATGACTGTTTACGGCGCCACACAATCACAGGAAGCCCGTGCGATATTCGCAAGAAGTTTTTGCGGTTTTACAAGGAATATAAGCACGTGTCACCTACGTTCATCAACAAACAGGCGGAGATTATTGGACATGTTCAACAGCCACCCACAGGAGCCTGTACGGAAGTTTAAACTTGCAGCGAGAAGGCGACTTGATTAACATGCCAAGATGCTTGGTTTTAGTCGAGAAAGCGAGAAGGTGAGTTGTTTAAACTCACAAAGGCGCCTTGTTTAAGAAGAGGAGGGAAGAACGCGAATCGTTAAAGGTCATCAAGTCACCTTCTCGACTTCAACAAGACGCATTGGCTAACAACTTGACCTCTCGCATTTTCGCCTTAAACAAAACGCCTATGTCAAGTTATATAAGTTGCCTCTATGCTTCACGTTTAAGCGTGCCTGCAAAACAATGTGCAGACCCGTGCTTCGACGCTTTGGAGGGGATGTACTAGGATGTAGCATCATATTTGGCTTGACAGAGTCATCCAAAATGACATCACCTCCCCAAAAGAGTGGTTTTTACGTCATGAACTAATCGTAATTAAAAGGAAGCATGGTTGTTTATTTAAAGAGAAGGTTGAGTTCTGGGAAGAGGTGAAAAATAATTTGTGAGCATTACTCATTCTTATTATGCAAGTGTGGAAGAATATCAGATAAGACATGTTCCCTGAAAAGCATGGCTCTTCAAATGCCTTCATATTCTAAATATGCATGTAACATCGTAAAAATCGGGGGCCGGCTTTTTACGCCACGTGTTCGTGTAGTCCCATATACATCTTTCTGTGTACAGTGTTTGTAATTTTACCAAGACTTGGCCAAGTTTCTTATCATTTTGATGATTCCAGAACCTTGCAATACACACAAATTCTTATATGCTATAATTATGATCAACCCTTTCTTGTCGGTTCCACACCGTTTCTTTCACAATGCAATCGCATGACCAGAACTCAACTTCATCTTTAAGTGAACGACCAAGGTAAGAGGCGAGATGGTTCAGTGGTAGAGCAGTGTTTTCTTAACTGGGAGATCCCGGGTTCGAAAATGCGCAAGTGCCCTTTGGTAAGGCATTAATTGTAATTGTCGAGGCCCTTGGAGAGGCCTTAAAGTCATAGTTTCCCATTACGAGAATACACATGCGTTCTTAGCAGTCAATTAAAATAAACACACCATCATACCAAGTAAAGTTTTCGACTGCCACTACCGTACAAACTATTGACGTATTATAACAGTTGTGTGGGTGTTGTTCTTTCTTTTTCGGGGGGGGGGGTGAAGAAAAACTACTTTTAAAAAATCAATACAGTTGTTTACACATGTACCATTCAATTTTGTTACGGTCACCTCTAATAATAATAATATGTCTTGTTTACCCAGGGTAGCCTCATCAGTATTCATACTGTTCTTTTTGAGTGCCCTGTAATCATATTATTACCCCGGTCATCGGATTCAGGCTTACCCGCACACAATGTACCGGTATGCACATTCTCCACTCCATGGGGAGCATACCAGCCAGGCGTAATTTTACAAGCGCACACTTGCTAATCTAAGCACATTAGCTTTCGCATCCTACCGGGTACCCATTTAACACCTGGGTGGAGAGTGGAAAATATACATCAATGTCTTGTCAAAGGACATTAATCAAGTAAAGGTGGCCCATAATGGATCATGGTAACTGATTTGAGACCTTGGCATCGTTTCTAGAAACCTTCATAAGTAGGCGTAGAAGTTCACCGACATCCCATTGAAATGCATGTTCGATTTAATTCACGTGTTCCATGAGTTGTTGGTGAACTTGTACGTAGGATGGTTTTGTGAAACGCCGCCCTGGTTCAATTGCATTATAATTGTAGTTCAATTCTACTTACTCAAGAAATTCATTCATGAGGTTCACAACGTCCTGCTCTTCCTTAACTTGTCGAAATCTGTTCCTAATTTCTTCAGTTAATTGCTCTCTAAACACCATATATCCTGTCGTGCTGGCTACATTTACAATCCTAGATGACAAAAAAAGAGTAACGGTCGAATTTGTTATGTTTACAATATAATACACTAGCGTAATTTACGAAGGGGTAAAGGGACAATTTCCTCTCCCGACATATTTTCGACGAAGATAAAGATATTCACTCTAACCAGTACCAAGGACGTATATAAGGAATCACTGTTAATGTGAATATATTATGGGCGATGCCCCCTCCCTATAAAGGGAGGTAGTGAATTTAATTTAATGCGAAAATATAATTTTGTTACTAAAATGAAAAGAATCCAAAATGACACTTAACACTAGCAGAGATCATTTATTTAATTGTTAGTCATAGTCACTTACATTACTTATTTAAAAAACCTTTACCAAACCCGAATACAAAATAATGTTTAGAAATAAAAACTTAATTTCTACCTTGTTTTGCCAATGTGTTTGTGACTCCAATCATAATATACTTCAAATGAATTCCATCACGACATACTCACCATCAAACTGGACATCGCCATTACATCATACACGACCTTTTAGCTATTATCGTATACACTCTAAGAAAAAAGGGGTGCAAAATTCGGAGTTTGCACCCTTTACATAAAAATGAACCCTATTGATGGAAAAGGGGTTAAAAAAAAGGGTCAGATTTTGCACCCTTCCCACAAAAATGACCCTTATCGACCCAAAAAGGGTCCAAAATAAAAGTTTGCATATTGCATGCATATTCATGATTACTTTACACGTGTTCACATAAAAACACATTTATCATGATTTGTTAAGCAAATTATGACAATGCACATCAATTTTGTGATTTGTATTTTCTTTCGGCAATCATTAACCAGTAGATTATTTTGTCTGATCATGTTACAATTACATTCACTTTTTAGCAATAGATATATTGATTATAAATCATTATATGATTACTAACCAAGACACAACGTGCATGTTTAATATGTATTTGTGTAAGAACATATTTAATGAGTATTCCTCGAGTATGTGTGCAGGATTGCACCTTTTAAAGGGTGCAGGATTGGACCCCTAAAGGTGCTGTTATTGCATCGGTTTGCACCCCTAATGAAGCAGGATTGAACCATTAAGGGTACTAACATGTCTCCGAAAAGGTGCAAGCTGGAACCCTCTAGGCTCTTAAAGGGTGCAGGATTGAACCCATAAAGGTGCTGCTAGTGTTGAATCGGTTTGCACCCCTAAAGGTGCAAGATTGAACCATAATGAGTACTAACATATCCCCTAAAAGGTTCAATCTGGCACCCTTTTCAAGGGTGCAGGATTTAACCCCTAAAGGTGCTGCTAGTGTTGCATCGGTTTGCACCCCTAAAGGTGCAAACTTGCACCATTTTTTCTTAGTGTGCATGGTGTAAACATATTTAAGTCGTTTGTCGTGTTTGGTAGAAGAGGCTTTGAGACAGATGAAAAGTTTGAATTCTCTAATTTTAAGTATAAAAGCAAAATGTATCTACCCTGTCTGTTTTACATGTATTAGGACAAACATTTTGCATGAAAAACATACCTTCCACCTGACCTCACCAGAGGAGTGAGACTCCGGCAGACGGATAGAAGTCCAAAGAAATTTGCTTCCATGACGCGGAATTGCTTCTCATAAAACGAACTGTTGTCTTTCTGTAAAACAAAGTTTGTGAAAATGATTAAAGAAAGCAATGGCGTATCCAGCAGAACGGTTCAACCGAAGTACCTCTCTCCATCTAGTCATGGAAAGGAATGCAAAACTGCTAGTACCAGGTCAAGGGTACGTGAGACTCAAGCCGGGTAGTACTGAGCCAAATTAGCATTATATAAAGTTACCTGATTCTAGAAATGTACATGCATATATTTTGTCATCAATAGATCAGTTCACTAAACGGTTATTTTTTTTCGGTTACGCATGGCTCTACTGACATGTTACTTTAATGATGCTCATTAACTCTTCCCTTTTTTCAAAGGCTTGCAATTATTTATAGCAACAATCATTGTTTGCGACCTGCCTTTTGCCTTTTAAAAGTCGAAATACAAAGATGACTGGCCTCGAGGTCATGAATATCATAATCATCCCTGTCATTTGAGTACCATAATTGTAACATTTCCACTAATTCCCGTTATCCATTTTATTAAAAAATGCAAACCTACCGATGTACCAATACCAGCATTGTTGACTAGAACATCAATTCCACCATGTTCCTTTTCCAGATGATTCCGAATCGTATCAATGCTTGCTTGATCAGTGACGTCAAGAAGATGAAACTTGGGATCGAGTCCCTCTTTCTGGAGGAGCTCAACAGCGGCTCGACCACGCCCTTCATTGCGTGCAGTCAAGTAAACCACGCCATCTTGTCCAAAATGGCGGCATAGAGCTCGAACGATCTCCAGACCAATACCCTTGTTTGCGCCTGTCACCTATAACGGAAGAAAATAACGATGACATTGCTTACTGTTTAGCCGACATTGTCAAAGTGCAAAATGAATAGAAAAACCTCAGATTTACAAATTAGCCAAGTAACCCGGATTTTAAATAAAAGCATTCTTAAATTTTGAATGTTCAAAAGGAACTCCTTATTCTATTTGTTTCCCGGCAGAAGACAGTTTTGAGCCCTCTGTATCAACGCCCCTATAGCATCTGTTAGGATACTGCTTCCAATTGTATTAATAGAACGAATACAAAATAACCTGTTGAGAAATTTGAGAAATAAAACTCTCACTCTCTCTCTCTCTCTCTCTCTCTCTCTCAGTTAAGTCAAACTAGGCACCGATAAGAAGTAATATGTTGTTAAGGTTTTCACAGAATTACGCCCACTTTTATTAATCAACATGATTTATTTTTCATCAAAAGAAAATTATGTTGAAAACGTGATAAACTACTGCATGATAATAGTACTTAGATACCGAGTCATTATAGAAAAAGACTAAGCGAGAAATATTAGTTGCCGGAAATGCCGGAAATGCCAGCAAGTGGGGGGCTTTTTAGCTACCTGCATAATTGTCAAGAAAATGTCAATAAAATGATCTATCATTTTCCTGTTAGTGAAAACTATCCTTTTCCCCTAATGCCTGTACATTATATGCCAAGTTAATAGTTCAAGTTCAAGTTCATTTTATTTCACATCCAATAAAAATATCATTATAACATTAAAAATACAATTATACAAAATGCAATATATATAAAATATAATAAGAACAAATAAAACAACAACAGTAACACTAAAATTGATTAATGGGTGGAGTAGGGATGTGAGGGACCAGCAAAGGCCATTGACCTATCTAGGCTGGTCCCCTTTTTCTACAACCCCAAAAGTAAAATCTTCAATAATTAAAAGCAAAATATTGACAATATAGACATTACATTAACTAAGACATATAAACACACATACAAGGACAGGCAGAATTAATAAAAGCTAAAAAAAGTATATTGTAACTTGATATTTGTTTGTGTTTAAAATTACGCTTAAAACTAGACAATGTTGGGCATGCTTTGAAAGAATCTGGTAAGTTATTCCAAATAATGGATCCTTTATATTTTATTACTGTTCTTGACAAATTATAGCGAAATGAAGGAACATAAAGTTTGTGTGAATTTCTAGTACTATATTGATTTATATCTCTATTGAAAATAAAATAATTATTAAAACAATCAGGTAAAGTAGTTATATTGTACATGTAAGAGAACATAAAAGCTCCAATACTTATATCATATAGATCATAAAGTTTTAAAAACTTCAGCTTAAAAAACAATGTACCTGTATGTGCTCTATAATATGAGTTTGTTATAACCCTGACGGCTCTTTTTTGTAATAAAAATAGCTTTTGAAGCAGATACGAAGCGCAGTTGCCCCATACAATGATACAATAATTAAAATAAGGCAAAATCATAGAGTTATACAATTGTACAAGTATGCGTAATGGTAAAATATCTTTGAGTCTATTTAAAACACCAATGACCTTTGACAGCTTGTTAGAAATAAAATAAATGTGGTCCTTCCACGTTAAGTTTTCATCAATAATGACGCCTAAGAAAGTAACTTGGTGTACTTGCTTAATTTCTTTACTATTTATACAAATCTTGATAGCAGCTTCATTTACATATTTATTTCTTGTTTTAAAAATTACATAGTTTGTTTTTTCAAAATTAATCAACAATTTATTTGCAAGGAACCACTTGTGTATTTTAACAATTTCAGAATTCAATAGAATATTTATTTCTACGGGATCTTTACCAGATAAAAACAGAGTGGTGTCATCAGCAAATAAAATAGAAGATAAAATATTGCTTACAGTTGGCAAGTCATTGATATACAGTAAAAACAGGAGCGGGCCAAGATTAGAACCTTGCGGCACACAAGTTAAAATAGTGCTGTGATCAGAGTAATAATTACCAAAGCTAACATATTGCTTTCGGTTTGATAAATAATTTTTAATTAAAAGAAGAGGAATTCCTCTTATACCATAAAAACATAACTTATTTATTAAAATATTATGATCAATACAATCAAAAGCTTTGGATAAGTCTAGAAATACACCAATTAAAAATTCATTAAGTTCAAAAGCATTTGCAACTTTATCAATAAAATCAAGAAGAGCATGGCAAGTACTGTATCCCATTAAAAGCAAATTGATTTTCATACAGAATATTATTTTTACTAATAAAACGAGTCAATTGATCACATAAAATCTTTTCAAATATTTTGCTAAAAACAGATAACACAGATATCGGCCTATAATTATTTAAAAGTGACTTATTGCCTTTTTTAAAAACAGGAATCACCTTTGCAATTTTTAGAGCATCGGGGAAAATACCTTGTTCAAAGGAAAAGTTTAAGATATTGCACAAAGGTGTAACAATCATATAAATCGAGTTTTTCAATACCTTAGGGTGAATTTCATCGTATCCTGGACTTTTATTTTCATCAAAATTCAAAACCACATTAATAATATCAGCGTTAGTAACAGGCTGTAAAAACAATAGCTCTGATCGAGGCGAACTATATTCTTCGGTAAGGTTCATCCCTCCTTCGAGTTATTGTTTATGTTAACCATTATTAGTACTACACTCTCATGAATATCATTTAGCAAAAGCGTTCCAGTTAATATATTTGTAAAGCGCTTAGAGACATCGTTGTTGGAGGTGTTGTTGTTTATGCTGTTATCATAAAAATTACTAATACTGATATTACTATTTGGCTCTTTTAATAATGATAAATCTTTTTTGTTTTTAATTATTCAAAGGAGTTAGCACAATAACAGAATAATCTACACTTTAGTACCCGACCAGGCAGGCTGGGAAATAAAAGGTCAAAGCCAAACATTGCCCATGCACAGGCCTCCCCCCCCCCCCCCCCCCCAACTGCTCGAGTGCTCATTAATACGTTAAAACATATACCAACTTATACTTTACATACTTATCATATGATACAATCCTCGAGAAACTATAGACAGCAAAGGTGAAGAGAGAGAGTAGAATAGGGAGGCTGCAAGAAAAATCACACGATTCGGATAATAACTGAGACGCCGTTGCACATATGGTTTTGATTGTAAGTTGTATACACTACAACTAATCATATACCGAGTTATTGTGTGTAGTGGTACGATAGTACTACTAGCAGTAGGTTACGTGAGGTATAATGCAGTATAACCAGGGTATGTGAGTTTAAAACACCTCCCTGGTATAACGATTCATAATATTTACACTAAAACACGTATCATTATAATCACGATACTTACCACTGCCACTCGTACCGACATGTTGTCTCGTGTAGCAATCGCTCCTACAGCATTAGACATCAATCAAATGGTTAAACAAGGGGGAGTTGGAATGGACTGGTTAAACGGTGTTATGTATATCCAGGGCATCACTGGGTATATACTACAGCTGTACATGCATGAGCAGTCTACACGTGCTTTCAACGTACCATTGACATGTCATGAACTATATATCCAGATCAATGGCATTGCAATGTTTGTCAAGTCTGACGTACTGTAGTCTCGACAAAAGGCTTCGCTCGCAAAGTAAATACATACATACATGCGATCCATATCAGCTAAACATTATGTGCATATACATATATGTTTATATCTGATATATATATATATACACATGTGTATATTTTACTAAAGGGGTCATAAGACGGACATTTGGAATGAAAAGGGGAATCATTAAGTAGACATTAATAAGGAGGACAATTTCGTGTCCTCTTAAAGTTTTCATACTTATATATAAATCTCTCTCTCTCTCTCTCTAAATATATATTTATTACGTCATAAGACGGACATTTGGAGCGAAAAAAGGAGTCATTAAGTAGACATTGTCATTAGGAGGACAGTAATTCTACAGACCAGTTTTATAGGGTTATGGTTTAGGGTTAGGGTTAGGACTAGATCTGGATAGAGTCCCGGCCCCCCACTCAGTGTTATTTAGCGTACGCATATGCTGGTACCCTCTTTTTGAAAGCACCCCCTATCTGAGGACTGCCAACATTTCCGAACCCCCCTTTCGCGGGCTTTTCGCGGGCTTTTCCTGCCTTGGAGACCCCCCTAAATCAGGAAAAATGCTCAATGTACCCCCCTAAATTCGGGGGTAAGTAAAACAAATTCCTGATGATAAATTGTACATGACGCTTTTAAAGTGATTTTTTCCAGTTCGGAAACAAAAGCACTTGAACAATTAGTGTCTTTAATTTCGTTTGCTTTATTCATATCCAATTCAATTCAATGCAAATCTATTTTATACTTAGAGGGAAATCCAAGCTTATTAGCAAACTACTCTACAGAAGAAAGGACAAAAATCACAAAAGCATACTGGAGAAAGTTTAAATGAAATCGGAAAAAATGAGAAAGTGGTGATTTTTTTTTTTTAGAATTTGCAACCACTATATGTATGGGCCCTTCAAACCGGCTGTCTCTGTGATGTAGTAGTGGGCCATTTGTTTATATTTGTTCCAACACACAAAGTGACTTAAATTTCAATTTAAACAAAGACTGTATGACTCGGGATGGTCTTTACTTATGAGAGGACCTGTACTAATATACTCTTCAAAATATATTTTGAGTAGTGCCCCAAGGGTGAAGGCACTAGGGAGTAAAAAATAAAATAGTGATATTGTTTGTACACGACAAACGGGAGAGTAATCCATAACTACATCACAATCGACTGGCAAAATTTGGTAAAAAGTGGGTAAAACAACTATAATCATATGTGTTACGAATTGTAAAGTACAAACATTATATTTTTTGTACATTTATTACAAGAGTAAATATATATCATGTATATAGACTCATATTATCACAAATCATTAATCAACGATAGCTTAATTGTATAAACATACATTCATGGATCATGTTAAGCTTCATGGAGACGTCCAACAAAAAGTGGCATCAACTCCGGGGAGACAAAAATATCTAATAAGCAATTTTCCATGTTTTATACATCGTTAATACAGTATAACAGCAAGAATGACAGTAAAAAGGAATGTCACGTCGTTGTCAAAATTCACATTTTAAAGATTGGATTTTCAGAGCAGTTCGTTTTTAAGTGGTGTTGGAAATGCTTTGAATGGTGATGAATTTGTAAAGATAAAATTTCGAAATTTTACCCTGCAACCATTGTAGTTTACATAACGATGTGGTGTTCCTCAGGGAAATTGACTTGGTCCAATTTTATTTATACATTATCAAAACGACAACTTTTAATCATAAAACACATCTGTTTATACTTTATGACAAAGGCACTGTGACCTTCCTGTTATCAAATAAGGGCTTATATACAGCTTTATCTATACATCTAGCGATTTCTAAATGTATCTATTTATTTATTTATCTATTCATCCATTATTTTACATGTTACATTTCTCTGTGTCATCTTTCCCTGTATTTTCTGCAAGCGTCCTCTTGAGGTGTAAGAAAGCTTGAAGCGCCCGTCTGCCTTGCTGAAATTTAGAAAGAAAAATAAGGGAAAACCGTCTACTATCACAGCTTATCAGAAAAATCACACTATGAGTCATTTTAACATGATTAGAGGAACAAGGATCCCCCCCCCTCACGCACCCCACCGTTTTATGTCAGCATATCTGTCCCCACACTCCATCATTAGGCCGTATATTTGGCGAGAAAAACAACTTTTTAAAAATAAGAGGGGAACACATTATTTATCCATTTTAGGGGCCTTTGTGCTCTAAAATTTTATGACAAACAAGAAAAAAATGATCATCGTGTTAACACATTATTTGGGTTACTATTTACCATAAATTTCTCCGGAATACCAACACCATACAGTACCAACAAAACAAATAAAAAAAAGAAACTCAATTCGTGAGTATCCAGCATTAATTGGACACATACGTCCATTTTGCTTTGTGAAAGACTAAAAATCGGGGGATGGCATTTAAAACTGTGTCGAACTTCAGGAGTTTCCACCATGGACTGATAGCTAGGAAAGCATACCTCAACAAGAAATTCCCAGTCTTCCGGGTCACCGTCAAAATCCAGACACTTCATGTAGACGGTGTTGATCAAGACTGTTCGTTCATTGTCATCACTCTAAGATTCAAAATTATAAACAAATCCATGTAAATATCATTGTACATGCACGAAACACAAATATCATCAATAATAAACAAACTGTCACATTCGCCATCTTTTTAAAGTCAATGTCATTTTATCATCAACACAATCATCAAATTCAAATTCAAATTCAAATTCAAATTCACATTTATTCGGCAAAAGATAAAAACATCAAAATGAAATCATTACAAATGAAATCATTATAAATAAATACCGGGATTGCTAAAATAAGTTAAAAACTTGTAAACAAGCAACCCCAAACATAAAAACATACAGATACTATACAATACAATAAGATGAAATACGATACAATACAATACAATACAATACGATAATAATAATGTTACATGCTAACAAAATATATGAATGAATTATGTATTTCAATAAATCAAAAAGTGGCAAGTATTGTTCTTTTCAGTTTAAGTTTAAATGCGTTCTGGTTCTTAATACCCTTTAAATAACTTGACATGGAGTTCCATTTGTGAGGACCTTGATATCTAATTGATTTATTTTGCAAAAATGAGTTAGTGAATTTTGGTAGATGAAAGTCTTTTTTTTTTCTTGTATTAAAGGAGTGGACATCCGAGTTCAAATGAAAACTGTCATAAAACGTTACTGGTAGCAAATTATTTTGGAGTTTGTACATAAATAATAAAGTCCGTTGAGAAAGAATATCTGGAAGTTTGAATAAATTTAAGGATTTAAATAATGAAGAGGTGTGCGCCCTGAAGGAAGCATTGCTGCACAACCGAACAGCCCGCTTTTGAAGTATGATAAGGGGCTTTAATAAATTATTAGACGTTCTCGCCCAAACTAAATTACAGTACGTTAAGTAAGGATATATGAGAGTGTAGTAAAGAGAAAGCATGGTAGAGGATGGTAGAAAACTTTTGAGCTTATTCATTACACCGACTTGGGACCGAATCTTCCTGGAAATTAATTCAATGTGTTTTGCCCATGTAAGTTTGTTGTCAATGGCAACTCCTAAAAAATTGGCAAATTGTACCTGGTCAATACAGTTACCATCTATTGTCAGATTAACATTTTCAATTAAAGTATCATTTTTTTTACCAAAGTTAAATATCATGAACTTTGTTTTGGTCTGATTAATTTTTAGTTTATTTGATGAAAACCAGCTAGCAACCTTTCATCAAGTTCATCAAGTTCCTTTTGAAGTTCATCATCAACATCATCACTATCACCCAATGCCACCATCACTAACACTACCACTACCACTACCACTACCACCACCATCACCATCACCACAACGACACCACACCCCTACCCCCACGCCTCGAGGAGGCACAGTTGTCATGGGGGACACTGGCTTTTCTAAATGGATAAAGTGTATCATCTTCTTGCCACATTAATTACCTTCACCCTCCCTCCCTCCAAAATTCTCTCTCTATCTCTCTCTCTCTCTCTCTCTCTTTCTCATTTTTAGCCAGCCGATTTAGCCCCCCCCCCCCCTTTTTTTCTTTCCTTCTTCTCTCTCTCCCTCTCTCTCTCTCTCTCTCTCAGCGCTACACCACTGCTACAAACATCTAGGAATGATCTCTTGACGTCCATAACAAGCGACTTGAAAGACTTGTGATGAGATCCGTTGGGTTCTTAATGTCTACCCCCCCCCCCCCTCTCTCTCTCTCTCTCTCTCTCTCTCTTTCAATTTAATATCTTTTATTTCAATCTCATGGCCACTGGGGTCCCTCCCTTCGCTGCGTCTACTAACATGACTAACCTCTAAGAACGATCTCTTGACATTCATCACGAGCGACTGGAAAAGACTTGTGATGAGATCCGTTGGATTCTTAATGTCCGTCCGCCCAGCCCCGATGAGATGGGTCTGAATTCCCACCCCATTCCACTCGGCCAGGTTCATCAACTCGTGATAGTCCAACTGCACGGAGCAAGGCAAATAGATATCGCATTATACCTATAGAGTGGTGAAGTGTGACGTCATCAAAAATCTATTTTTAGAATTTCTCAATTTTGTCTTCATTTTCCGAAAGAGCATAATAGTTAGGAGCCAGAGCATATAGCACTGAGTTCCTATTGAGAATATATTAATTCAGATGGTCAAATATCCGCCAATAGTTAACATATTCAATTGGTTTCGACATTTTTGGTGCTCTTTCGGAAAATGTAGAAAAATTGAAAAATTCTAAAAAAAAAAAATTATATGACGTCACAGCTACCTCTGTAGAGCAATCATCCCCGTACATCCAGGGCAAGTGATCGTAGGACAATTTGGGATTCGATCCTTACGCTGACAGTTCGTCAACTCCGTACTCCTCCATACAAAATGTATAACCCCTTTAATATAGGACAATTACAACCCCCGGCCCTCCCCCACCCCCGGCCCGAACTATAACTCTCCTGTGTTACTACCCTATTCACTTCTTGTTGTGGTATACTAAGTCAGTCTTCTTCTTTTCTTCTTCTTCTCTTTTTTCTATTTTTCTT